ATCAAGGTGGACGACTGAGACCCACCACTGCAAGCCCATCTGCTTTCAGGGGCATGTAAAGCATACCAGTTTGTGATGTTTTATCATCCAACATAGAACTAAAGGAAGATCCCCATGGAGTAAGAAGAGAAGGCATATTCTAAGGTTGAAAAAAAAAGTTTAGGTTTGAATCATTTATCTGCCTTCTGTGGCTACCGATGATCTACATCGGCATTTCCATGACTTTAACAGTTGGCATGATATTTACGAAGTTGAATTGTTTGTGGTAGTTAAAAGTTAAAATTCAGCTTATGCTTTGTGGGTCTGAAGATAAAGATTAATAAGAAAAGGTACTGTTACACATTTAAAAATATGTCAAGTCAAGGTAGAGACAAGGTGTTCATTTGTTAGAATATTTTATACTTCTGCTGTGGCTAAGGTCACATAGTAAAATAGTAATAATTCTCACCAAAATACCTTTCTCCTTTCTGACATCCCAGAAATTGTTTCATAAAAATAACAGGCTATGGTCTTCCAAATCTGTCTTCCTAATACTTGTTGACACTTGAATGTTGCATTCATTTCTTTTTCACTACAAGCAAGTCACTGATGATTCTCTTCTAGTAGGAATTAAGAGAATTACAAACATGTCATAGTTGTGCTGGAATAACTCATGTGATACTCTTGACAGCTAGCTTGAAATGTAAAATGATCAAAAGACAATTAAGCTCCTTAACATACCTTTTAGAGTTGATTTAAAACTGAACAGCAGCAAATCAATTATATCCTCTGTTGGACCATGGATTTTGTCCACTAGAGATTATAGTCATTTTTTTCAAGGAAGGTTTAGTTTTATGAATTGTTTTAGAAATCTAAGAGAATTGTGACTTTGTTTCTACATGGTAATAGGTTCCAGAATATGTGGGAAAAATTCAACTTTTCAATCTGTGTTACAGATTTTCATTACTTTATTGTCTAAAGGTAGCTCTTGAGTATGACTGAACTTGTTATGGCAGGAGAAAGTATGATCTCAAAGACTTTGCCTGTAAGTTACATTCTTGATGGTGATGCAGATATGCGCCTGTGACAGTGGCATTTGACTTTTTCATAACCTCGTCTTCAGCTCTACTCTGATCCTTAGAAGCTAAGTTCTAAAGTAATGATGGAAATGTATGCTCTGCCAAATGTAGTGGCTATCTTCCCTTGTTCTTTTCATCTGCTTTCTGAGTATATTTGTGCAGATCTTTTCTCCGTGGGGTATAGGGAATGTGAAAGTCTGGAGTCAGAGCCTGATAAGTTGATAAAAAATAGTACTTTATTCAAGTAATTTCTCACTTTTACTTATATTAGAAGCAATGATAGTTTAGGACATATAAAAACCACAAATTGGTAATTGAGAACAGGGAGTGTGTGTGTGTGTGTGTGTGTGTGTGTGTGTGTGTGTGTGTGTGTGTTTGTGCGCACATACATATGTACATCGTGATTCCACAGGATCTAGCATAATTGGCTAAATAATCATAATGTTTCTAATACCCAAAGAAAATAATTACATATTGTCCAAAAAGAAATGTACTCTTTACCTGACTTATGTAACTATAACCTCTCTGCTCTTCTGTACATCACCTTTATGATAGCAATTACAAAAAGAAAAGAAAAGAAAAACAATTATTCTTTTTTTCTCATTTAGGGCCTGGGCACTGTCTCTGAGCTATTTTGTTTTGTTTTGTTCAAGGGTAGTGCTCTACCACTTGAGACACTTCTGGATTTCTTTGGTGATTAGTTAGAGATGAGAATATCATGAACTTTCCTGCCTGTGGGCTGGTTTTCAACTGCAATCCTCAGATCTCACATTCCTGAGTAACTAGGATTACAAGTATGAGCTACCAGTGCCCCAGCTGTATTATACTTGTATATTTTAAGTACTACAAAATGTCTGAAATGTTAATTTAACAAAAAATTTGGACAGTGAAATAATGAGTATTCAGTTTATACTAGGCAATGTACTGAACAATTTATATACATTATTTTATTCTAATAAGGCTATTCATTTGATATTCCATTTTAAAAATAAGGAAACTGATGTTTAACAAAATTTAATAGTCTGATATCTTGTAGATATTAAATGAAAAATGGTAAATTGACCCAGTGAGTTTGCCTGGCTACAAAGCATTAAACCACTGTATTGAGCTCTGAGGAGCAGAATGAGACATCTAACTACTAAGGAGTAATTTACAGGTTAAGTTTTCATACTGGGCATTGATGAAAGAGATGCCCAGAAAGGAGTAACTGTCTCTTCTCATTTTGGAGAGAACTGCCAAGACTGAGGGAAGTCTTACTTATGGGAGTGTTCTCAGAAAACCTATCTCAGTTTTGATTGTTCTGGGAAAGGCGTGTGTGCGTGCGCGCACACACACACACACACACACACACACACCTTTTTAGTAGGATTGAGGATTAATCTCAGGGTTTTGAGTTGGCTAGGCAAGCATTTTTACCACCTGAGTCACACCCCAGACCTCTTTCAGTTTTCCTTTCAGATAGGGTCTAGTGCTTTTGCCTAGGCTAGTCTCAGACAGGTGTTTTTTGCTTTCTTCCTCCAGAGTAAGTGGAATTACAGGATTGTGTCACCAAGCTGAGCCCCAAATAAGTATTTTTCATAGGAAGCTCCTTACAGATATTTAGATAGTGATTTGTTAGACTTGTTTTTGTCCTTTGTGTTCATTTTATTTTTTCTAAAAATTGATCAATATAATCAGAATAATTCTGAAGAGAAAGGAATTATTTTGAAGAGAATATTGCTTTGTCCTTTTGAAAAAAGAGAAATAGTAGTTTGGTGATTTTTTTTTTTTTGGATCTGGTATGGGGCTTGAATTTTTTTTTTTTTTTGGTCGGTCGTGGGGCTTGAACTCTGGGCCTGAGTGCTGTCCCTCAGCTCTTCAGCTCAAGGCTAGAGCTCTACCACTTGAGCTAGAATTACAGGTGTGAGCCAACAGCACCTGGCTGGAGTTAAGAGTGTTTCACGGACTTTCCTGCCTGGGCTGGCTTTGAACCACGATCCTCAGATCTCAGCCTCCTGAGTAGCTAGGATTACAGGTGTGAGCCACCGGTGCCTGGCTGGGGCTTGAATTTAAGGTCTGAGTGCTGTCTTTGAGCCTTTTTGTGCTTGAGTCACAGAGCCACTTCTGATTGGTGATTTTTTGACTCACATATTTGTGGAATGTATACAGTACAGGATTGATACAGTATGGAATGCTTTAGACAACCCTCAAACCCAAATTTTCTTTATCAAAATGTATTTACCTTGACAAATTTTCTCTGTATCTATTACTTAAGGTATTTAAAAAATTGTTGAATGCTCCTTTGTTGTTCAGCATTAGTATTCCATTGTTACAAACCATCAGAATTTCTCCTAAACTGACTTATATATTCTATATTTGCTAGATTATTTAGAAGTTTTCAGTTTGCTTCTTTTCTTCCTCTGCATGATATAAGATCTAATTATCACCCAGCGTGAAGTAAGAATCAAATGAAAAAAGCAGCAAGAGAAAGTATTGGCTTAACTGAGTGCTAGTCAGCTGCCTGCTTCTTCTTGTATACTTAGCTGCAAAGAGAAAAGAAAGCAGCACTCACTAAAGTAACTCATATATTAAACATCTTTCTTTCTTCATTTGAGCCTATAAGTTGGAATTTGTTCAGTTTGAACAGAAGCAAGACATTGAACAATACTTTTAATTTGCAGTTAGTAGTCTTTGATGCTTCAATGAATTGTACAAAATATTTCCATCTTCAGAGTGGCTCAAAGTAGTTCTATCCTATTTTCTTAGCATTTAGATACAAATAAAACAAACATTTCCAGGAATGAAATTAAATCAAGTTAATAAATAATCATTTTAATAAGGTTTATAACTTAACTTTGAGACTTTGGTTCCTGAATCTGTCTTAGAAAGATCTCAGAATTTATGTTTAAAGTATATGTCACATTAATAAAGTAGCTTATAGCTTTCTGTTTTGTAGACTGGATAATTAACCTAGTTGGAAGGAGGGGCGGAGAAGATAGTATTTTTATTCTTTTTGGAGGAGTGAATAATGAGGTTTGAATTAAAGGGCTTGTGCTTGTGTAAGCAGTCAATCACTGTAACGCTTGAGCTTTTTTGCTTTAGTTACCTCTCAAGTAGGGCATATTTTTATGCCCTGGGCAGTCTGGACCACAATCCTTTGTTATTCTTTTCCTGTAGTTATGATGACAGGACTGTATCATTGTGTTCAGCTTTTATTGATTGAGATAAGGGTCTTGCTAACCTCCTGAGTAGCTAGGGTTACAAGTGTGAGTCACCATACCCAGCATCTTTTTACTATTTAAATGGCTTTGGTCTGAGTTTTTCACTTATGTTTCCAAAATTAATAAGGTATATAAAGTATATTAAAGTATATTTTGGTGTGACAACTAGAAAATTTCTATCAAAACTTGAAAATGCATATGTTCATCATGTCCTTGTAGTTTTGCTTGCAGGAATCTATTCTTGAACATATTTGGAAGACATATGTATAAAAATGTTCCTTATGATACTGTTTAAAGAGAATAAAATGTAAAAGATATGATCAATAGAATATTAAATAAATCTTGATATGTTTATATTCAGTTATGTCACTCTTTTTCATAACCACTTCTAAAGAGAATAAAATAATTTGTATGATTTAGTAAAGAAATATGCTATAACTTTATTAATTGAAAGGGTCAGAGAGTTTGTTTCGATGGAAATTTGTATAAATAGATTTCCTCCCTCCTTTCCCTTTCATGTAAACATAGATATATACACATATATCTTTGCTGTGAGGTCATAAAATTTATTGATGGCACTTATCCCTGGGGAGTAGTCTGTGAGTCTGGATTAGAAGGGAAGTTTTTTTTCAGTTATATATTTTTGTGCTGCTTGAAATTATTACAATGTAGAACTGTTATTTTTCATAATTGAAAAGAAAGTTTACGTTGATAACTAAGTCAGATTTGCTTTTTCTTTTAGGACTCAGCCCAGGAGAGTGTTATTACTCGAGATATTCACCGGACATTTCCTGCCCATGATTACTTCAAAGATACTGGTGGAGATGGTCAGGAATCACTCTACAAGATCTGCAAGGTAGTAGCCTCAGCCTCACTTTTTCTAGCTGATTTTATAGTAAGTGCTATATTTTTGGAACGCATCTTAAAATTTTTTAGGTTTTCTTTCTGTCTTCAAGTCTTTCTAGAACTATTCTGTATTTTTGTCTTGCACATGCACTATCAGAGCCTGCTTTGTGGCCTTTTTTCTGCCGTTTTCTTTTTCCGTTTTGTTGTTGTTGTTGTTGGTTGTGAGGATTGAACTATGGGCCTGGTGCTGTGCCTGAGCTCTTCAGCTCAAAGCTGGTGCTCTACCACTTGAGCCACAGTATCACTTATAGTTTTCTGGTGGTTTTTTGGAGATAAGAGTCTCATGGACTGTCCTGCCTGGACTGGTTTTGAACTGTGATCCTCAGATCTCAGCCTCCCGAGTAGCTAGGATTACAGGCGTCAGCCACTGGTGTCTGGCTTTTTTGACTTTTTCAAAGGAGGCATGACATACTGTAGCCTAAGTTTGCTCTCCTGCTAACAGAAGAAGACAATAAGGTCCTCTCAGGCCAGGTTGCAAATGTTGAGGAGTCCCAGATGACGGATCTTCTGTAAAGATAGTGTGGCATTTATCTTAGTTTTTGGACAAGAGGCATGTGTTCAAATCCTTGTGGGGCCTGCTGTTGAATACCAGCAGGTTCTCTGATACTGTCCATATACTCTGATTTGTGTCACTTGATACATCTTTGTGCAGTTTTCATGTTATTTTGAATCTTCTCTCAGGTTATTAGTACTCCTAGAAAAAAATTGCTTCTTGATTTGCAATACTTTTTTAGATACAAAAGATTCTGTCAACTGTCAAAAGACTAGCCAACAAGTTATTAGCTTCTCAAAAAGTTAGATCAGAAATGTAGGGATGAATGCTCATTCTGTTCTTACAATTCTAGAAGAGATTGTTAATAATTAATGACCCATGCAAACATTCTATCATAATGTAGAGAAAGCAAACAGTACGATTATTTGCTGCTTTATCCTAGGTGATCAGTACCCAAATAGCCAATAAAATCTTTTTTTATTTATATTTATTAAATTATTGAGTTATTTAAATAATTATTCAAAGTAACCTTTTTGTTTTTTTATTTGCTATATCAGGGCTATTGAAGTCAGGGCTTTGAGCTTACTTACTCAGCTGGTACTCTACCACTTTTTTTTTTTAAATTTCCGGTCTTGGGGCCTGAACTCTGGGCCTGGGTGCTGTCCCTCAGCTCTTCAGCTCAAGGCTAGTGCTCTACCACTTGTGCCACAATGCCACTTCCGGCTTTTTTTCTTTTTGCTTATGTGGTGCTGAGGAATCGAACCCAGGGCCTCAGACATGCAAGGCAAGTGCTCTACCACTGAGCCACCTTCCCAGCGCCTCTACCACTTTTTTGTGTATGTGTGTGTGCCAGTCTTAAAGTCTTGAAATCTGGACTTAGGTCCTGTCCCTGAGCGTTTTTACTCAAGGCTAGTGCCTCAAACATTTGAACCACAGCTATACTTTCGGCTTTTTGTTAGTGAATTAAATAAGAGACTCACAGACTTTCCTGCCCCATCTGGCTTTAAACTGTGACCCTGAGGTCAACCTCCTGAGTAACAAGGATTCCTGTGTCTAGAAGCCCTACTTTTTGAGATCGAGTCTCACAGACTTTTCTCCTCCAGGCTGGCTTCAAATTAAGATTTTCTGAATCTGAGCCTCCTGACTAGTAAGGATTACAAGCCTGAGGCATAAGCTCCTGACTCAAGTTTAGCCTTTTTTAAGGAGTAGTAAAAATGTGCCAGTAGGTAGTCTGAAGTATGCTCAAAAATCTATTTCATTTTGTATTTACTGTTTAAAAATTAAAACACCCATAAAAGCACTCGCCTACATATGCTAACAAAGTACAGTTGTTTAATTTTGCAAATGGAACATCTTTCATTAAAATGCTTCTTTTAAGGTGGCACTCTTGCCTTCTTCCCACTTCCTCCCCTTGCTTCTCGTTTCATAATCGAATAGTTTTTGAGTATTATAAATAGATAACGGATTGGAAATCTATTTTAGAGGTGCTGGCTATGTAACTTATTGGCAGAGGCCCTTCTAGCATGCACAAAGCCTGAATTTGATCTTCAGTACATGTATATATTATTTAGATGTAGAAACACATCAATAACTTAAAATCTGAGCATAAAGCAGTCTCTGGAAGATGATACATCATTGAGTTTTTAAAAAAATGCAAAACCAGGCTGGGTGCTGGTGGCTCACACCTGTCATCCTAGCTACTCAGGAGGCTGAGATCTGAGGATCGTGGTTCAAAGCTAGCCTGGGCAGGAAAGTCCATGAGACTCTTTTTTTAAATTTTTTTAATTGTGAAAATACTGTACAGTGGAGTTACAATTACATGGGCAAGATAATGAGTACATTTCTTATCAAGCATTGTAGCCTCCTCCTTTGTTTCCCCTTCCCATCCCTTCCCATCCTCCCCCTGTCCCCCACCCCCGAAAATTGTAAAGTTCGTTTTCGACATAATGACTTGTACACCTCAATGTTGCAATGGATCCACCTGTATCCCTATTTAAATGATTTGTCTTTCCCCTTCCCCTCCAAAAATTATACCGACATCAAATACAGTGAAAGCAGGGGTTATACTGTGGGGGAGGGACATACAAAGCAACAAAGAAATAATCTTATAAATGTGTTAGAAACAATCTTATCTCCAATAAACCACTAGAAAACTGGAAGTGATGCTGTGGTTCAAGTGGTAGAGTCCTTGCCTTGAGCTGAAGAGCTGAGGGAGAGCGCCCAGAGTTCAAGCCCAGTACTGACACACACACACACACAAAAAGTGTGTGGTTTATATCTTTAGTCCCATTTACCTAGGAGGTAGCAGACAGGAGGATCTCAGTCTGAGGCTGGCTTAGGAAAAAGTATGAAACCCTGTTGGGAAAATCAAGCTAAAAAAGTTTAATTACTGGGGGCATGGTTCAAATAGTAGACACTTGTCTAATAAGTGTGAAGCTGTGAGTTCAATTCCCCAATAGTCCACAATACAAAAAAACCCCAACAACATGGAACATTACAAAGAAGGTTATAAGCATATAAGTATATATGCTCATTAAAGGGAAAAGTTATATTGAGTTTTTTTCTACCATTTTTTAATTCAAAGTAAACTCAGCGTCTGGATTATATGAAAAATCATAAGGAAACTGATTGTTTCTAAGTTTATATAGGTGGATCTAGCTTACAGTATTAGAACAACATATTGTTCTTGCAGGGTCTAGGGTTTGAACTCAGGACTTCCTCCTTGTTAGGCAGATGCTCTTCCCCTTGAGCCTCAGCTCTAGTCCTTTTTAGTCTGTGTGCACACGTGTGCATGCATGTGCACCCATGCATACACATGTTGATACTTAGGCTTGAACTCAGAGTCTGGATGCTGTTTCTTATCTTTTTCATTCAAGACTAGTTAGTGCTTTGCCACTTGAGTGACAGCTCGACTTCTGGCTTTTGGGCAGTTAATTGGAGAAAAGTCTTACAGACATTCCTGCTGAGGCTGATTTAGGATTACAGGCATGAGTCACCAGTGCCTGGCTGACATGGATATTTTTAAGAATAAGTCTTGTTTTGTGCCCAGGGCAGCTTAGACTGCAGACCTCTTATTTAGACTTCATGCCACAACCAGGTGACACACTGATCACTACACCCAGGTTTTTCTTTTAAGACAGGGTTTTGAAAATTCCTTTGCCTGGGATAGTATTAAACTACAATCCTCATGACCTGATTTAGGATTTTAGAATTTTAGACCTCAACTTTACCCTTTCTGAGTAAAGAATATATAGAATTAAATTACTTCATTATTTTAGAGTTGCTAGCTATGTAGCTTAATGGAAGAGTGCTTTCCTAGCATACACAAAGCCTGAGTTTGATCTTTGATACATTTATATATTATTTTTGTACATAAAATAATTTTACTATAGTCTTTGATAATATAGGTCAGCAGATCTCTCTCTCACTTTCTCTCCCTCTCTCTCACTATCGGAAAATGTTGGAGAAACCAAAATTTTCTAGGATTCTACCATTTATACTTAATGATTTCTCTTTCTGTTATACTTACTTAGATTGGTGATTAGACCAGAAAACATTAGTTGTTGTTTATATGATTCACAAATAAAATTTTATAATTTTAAGAAATATAGGATTAAATATTTTTCTCAAGATTCTGTAGCCACTTTCCATTGGTTTTGGATCCAGTGTGAAGTGTGGGAATTACTAAACAGAACCAAATAAATACTAATAATACTTTGGTCTTATATCCACCACTTTGTCCTAAAGTCTATAAATAAGGGCGGTCCTGCCTTTTCTTTACCAAACCTTATTCTTTTTTTATTGTGAAAATACTATACAGAGGGGTTACAATTACATGGGCAAGGTCATGAGTACATTTCTTATCAAGCACTGTTGCCTCCTCCTTTGTTTCCCTTTACCATTCCTTCCCATCTCCCCATCCTCCCCGGTCTCCCCCCAAACCTTATACTTTTCTTGTCTTATCACACTGACCACAAATTCAAGTATAGTGTGAAAGTGAAGCAATGGTAAGACATTTTTTTGTCTTGTTTCTGATTTTAAAGGAAATGCATCTAATGGTTTACATTAAGAATTACATATGTTAAACCAGAAACACAATTACAAACCTTTTTAAACCATATAGTCCTTCCCATCTACTGTAATAATTTTATATTTAGACAGTGCTTTCACATGTATTTTGCTTTCACATATATTTCCTCATTTTTGATAATTTTTTATCAGTAGAACCTATGGTAAAGATAGAATATATTGTGCTTTCAAATCAAACAGAAACTGATAGAAGAATTTCAATTACGGTAAGTTTTGAAACCAACCTGGGTTTCAAGGATGCAACTATTTGACTTTGTAGGTGAAAAGTTTTCTGTGGCTGTGGTGAAATGAAAAATGATATGAACTGTCAGATTAGAGGAACACTGTTAAAAACTTACTGTCAAGTTTTAATGGCCCTGTCAGTTTCA